CTTGTTGACTGGACATCTACACTACATGAGCTGCTGTTTACATGTGAATACTAGTTGGCGTTAATTTATACAAAATACATACAATATTTTACGCCTATTAAGGTTTTGAGCAAAAAACATGGATTTTTTATCAATACTTGTCAAATTTAATGTAGTAAAGTCATAGAAATCACCGAATTTTAATATGATTCCGTCGATATTTTAGAGTCGTTCATTGACCCTGTTCTAGAGATGGGAAATGCGTACCTATTAGCAACAAGGCCGAGTTTTAATCGACTTTACACTTAACATTTGTCATGTTGGAAAATATATGGTAGAATTATATATGGGTTTTTTTAAAAAATCTCAATAGTAGCACGGAGTCTGGAATTTGTGCCCGGTACTTATATGGCAATAGGCTCACCCCCTATTACATGGGACCCATAACATAAATAGTGAAAAGTGGGTGTTACATTCTTCAGTGGCATTAAGTGCCTTAATGTGCACCGTTGCCTACCCCTTCGGAGATAAAAAGGCTTGATGTTATGTGATGATGAGCTGGTTATGGTGGTAGAATATTTTTTAACATTGCCCCAGACTAGGATTTTTTCCTGTGTCTCGGGTGCATTTACAAACATACAATTTCACATACACATCACATCCAGACCCGGAACAACAATCTGTGGATCACACAAAGGGTTGTTCCGTGCGGGAATCAAACCCATACACGTTGCGCGGCAGCCAGTTAACCCGTAATATTGATAAGTAATATTTTAAATGATTCGTTTTATTTAAATCATTCGTCTAACGTCTCGGCTCTCGGCTTTCGGCTTTCGGCCTTCTACACGGCGTTTCTCCCAACACTATCAATAAACTTGTAACTCTATAGACCCGTCATGTCAATTTGTATACATATCCCCATTTCCTTCGAGTTTTTAATAAATACATTGATTTTAAATTAAATTATGATTAAACCGTTGGCTTTTAAACATAATAATTATGAATTGCCTTCGGAAGGGTAAGCAAAGGTGAAAGTTCAATAGAGTACAATAAAAATAGATCACGACCTACCCAGAAGCTAAAATTGAGTACCTACTAGTTCATCAACAGTATCTGACAGTCCCCTGGAGGATTATGAGCCTCCTCTACATAAGAGGGGGTTGTCATAATTCCAAGTATACCAGGCAGGTTGGAGACGGCAGTATAAAAGGTTCAGGTTTATCAGAGAGCGCTGCTGTACGGTCTCTGTCAAATGTATAGTTTTATTAGTCGGGTATACGACACCCGCTGGAAGAATAGCGGTGGTGACAAATGTATACTATTCTACTGTCATTGTACACAAGCTGTATTTATTTACAGTACCGTTGCTGTCTCATTTCTAAACCTAGACTATAGGCATTAGTCAAAACTATTGAGCAACCATTGTTATGAGTAATCCGTAAGGAATCTAGACACAGTTGTTACCTAACCTAGGTCTAGTCTAGACTTTCAAAATATGCCTGGCTTATCGATTCTTGTGGGCGATATCGATTTATTGTTCATTTCTTATATCGATTGTCTTGCAATCGAGTTGTTGTGAGTGCAACTACTGAGCACAGTAGCTTTGAGTTCGATTGTCGGGTTGGGCAAAGTATTACTGGATTTTTAAAAGATTCTCAGTAGTACCACGGAGTCTGGAATTGTGCCCGGTATATGGCAATAGGCTCACCCTCTATTACATGGGACTCATAGCATAAATAGTGAAAAGTGGGTGTTACATTGTAAGTACAGTGGTATAATATGCACCTCTGCCTACCCCTTCGGGGATAAAAGGCGTGATGCTAATTTATAACATATAAATTAACAAATATTACTTCAAAAACACTTTTACAGTCCACTTTAATTAACAAACATGCGACATGATACTGTGAACCTTAAAATAAGTTATAAAAATTAAAAAGATTTAGTTCAACATGATTATTACCTGATTTTTATTAATAATGGCGACATGACATTATCTTAAAATCTCGATGTTTGAGTCAATTTGTAGTTATTTGTTTATTTTTATGTTTTTTCGGTGTAGTTGTTTTATAAGTGGGGTATTTTATGTATCCTGTGCCGTTGGGTGGGTTAAAAATTCTCGATATGTGTTGGGTACACTGTTTTTAGGTATTTAACAGGTTTGTAAACCTTATTAATAATAAACTGAATTAATAATGACTGCCTCGCTGGCCGAGTGGTCTCGGGTTCGATTCCCAGGTCGGGCAAGGTAATTAAGTACTGAGTTTTTTTTTTAAAAATCTCAGTAGTAGCACGGAGTCTGGATTTATGGTATATGGTGATAGACTCACCCCCTATTACATGGGACTCGTAACATAAATAGTGAAAAGTGGGTGTTATATTGTATAGAGGTAGTTGTATTATGTGCCGTAATGTACTCCTCTGCCTACCTCTTCGGGGAATAAAAGGTGAGATGTTATGTTATGTTATATTATGAGAGGAGAGGGGAAAAAAACGGACTCTGTGAAATCTAGAACAAATGTCCGCGCGTTTAGACATTTTTACCATAAGTAGTACCTACATATTATTGGAAGCAAGTATAACAGCTCGCACATATGACCTATTTAGTTTCTAGTCACATTTTCGGCGGTGCTTGGCGACTGGGCTTTCTCCCAGTCGTCCAGTCTCTTTATGCCTTTAGGATTTAGTCTGTATCCTACATCAATTCACCGAGGGAAGTTAAAACTACTGAACTCTCTGCAAACGAGCAGACAGATCACCTGATGGTAAGCGATCAGCGCCGCCCATGGACACCTGGAACACCAGAAGAGTCACAGGTGCGTTGCCGACCTTTTAAAAAGGAATACGCTCTTTTCTTGAAGGTTTGAAGGTCGTATCGGTTCGGAAATACTGTCGACGACAGATCATTCCACAGTTTTGCTGTGCGAGGCAGGAAGCTACGTGAGAAGCTCACAGTTACAGACCCTTTGTAACTGGGATAATGATACTGTTACATATGATAATTTCAAGCACGGAAGCATGCTTCAATCGATCACTTGTCACTTAACAGCATGTGTGTCGGAATATTGCTTAAAATTAGCTCATTGATTTTAGCCAAACGCCACTTTAGCGCTTGTGTACAAAGAGAGTAGAAATCAAAATGTATGGGGATGACACTGACAAGTGTCAAAATTTACGTCAATTCCATATAATTTGGTTTTCTATTCTACATGTAGACAAGCGCTAAATGCCATTTGGCTCTGCAGGCATGGTTGCGAACCGAGAGGTGTTCTATTTTTGAAAATTTTTGAGCAAGCTCGATAGAACGCCTTATATTATTATTTTTTATTTTATTTATTTGACTCAGGCATCTTGGCCTATAGTGAAATATACAATAATACAATACAAATAATTCAGGTTGCAAATACTATACACACATCTATATCTATACTAATATTATAAAGGGGAAAGATTTGTACCTATTTTTGTATGTTTGTAATGAATAGGCTCCAAAAGTACTGAGCCGATTTAAAAAATTCTTTCACCAATAGAATGCTACATTCTTCCAATTTGACATAGGCTACATTTTATTTTGAAAAAAAATAGAGATCTAAATTTGAACAATGTAACCGAAGGTGTAGAAAAATGAGTCTTAAAATGTCTTTCGTCGAATGCGCTGCCGAAACTATTAGCGATAGAACAAAATAATGTTACAACAATATTGAAGAACATCATAATGTCTACAAAATACTCCGCGGTAGCATATTATGTCCAACTATTGTAGTTATGTCACTACAACAATCCAAATTTCCAAAAATAAATAATTGTCTACCCCGTGCGAAGCCGGGACGGGCTGCTAGTATACTATATTTTAGCATGCTGTTTTGGAGCATATGTTCTCATTCTCTCTAGTATATAGACCTTAATAAGTAACTTAAGCAAAAAGTTAGTGTGAAATTATTTTAAATGATTTGGAAGTCATTGAGGGATGCAGGTTCAGTAGTGGATGTCTAATTGCTGATATGATGATGATGATGATGATGTGAAATCTATTAGTCGGGTTCAAATTCAAGTCGTTTATTACGAATATAGGTCAAGTGTAGATTTCACAGTAGTTATCACTACATAGTATAAAGGCTATCCGCCGTCTGTCTGTCCCTATGTATGCTTAGATCTTTAAAACTACGCAACGGATTTTGATGCGGTTTTTTTAATAGATAGAGTGATTCTATAGGAAGGTTTGTATGTATATCACTATATGGTATAAAACAAAGTCGCTATCCGCCGTCTGTCTGTCCCTATGTATGCTTAGATCTTTAAAACTACGCAACGGATTTTGATGCCGTTTTTTGTAATAGATAGAGTGATTCTTAAGGAAGGTTTGTATGTATATATAATACTTGTATATTGCACCCGTGCGATACATTCTGGCATTTACCATGCAATATTATGCAAAATTACAAATTACTATGAAGTCTGTTAGTCAGTGTAAATTATAAGATTATGTAACGAATGCGTATTTTATTGATAAAAAATCTAATTAATTAGATAAATGAATTTACAAAATGGAAACGTTTTTACCGCGAAATGTAAAGAACTATGTTTTTTAAAGTTTAAAGAGTTCTATTTTAAAAAGTTGTGTTTAGCTTTAATTCTATACGAAGAAAATAAAATATATTATATTGACAATTTTACTTTTAATTTTGTTTGTATTAAAAACTATTAGGTTACAAGCATGGTGATTAATGCTTTAACCTTCTCCGTGTCAGAAGAGGACTTGTTCAGCAGTGGGCACTGACTGTAACCTCATTTGTTGTTTTATCAAAGAAATTGTTAGAAGACAAAAGTTTTGAACCAAATTTACGGCTGACTTAAGTTCCTATTTAACAGCTGTAAAGTTATAGAAGTAAATATTTATATGTCTTTCACTACAAAGTTCTACGAAACAAGCGAAACACACGACCAACTGCCCCGTAATAAATTGTAAAAATCTTTAAATCCATGATTTATCTAGGAAAACAATAATAAATCAATGAACAAACCTTCAAAAACAGTAATTCCAAGACAACTCCATTTGGAAATCAGTTAAAATATTCTTAATGTCACCTCGCACACTCACAACACATAAGTTTACATAAAACCACAAAAAATGCGAAAAAACTTCGACAAAAATGTTCTATTCGACAAAATACTTGACAAAAAATTCGTGAAAAATTCAAACGCGTCCTTTATCGACAGACGGTCGTCTCAAACTGAGAACATTCGAACGCGACATCGAAATTCATCGAATAAAGACGTATATACATCCTTGTCTAACAGTCGAGAATGCAAGTGGAGGAAAGAGATAGCAGCAATGGCATGCATTATGGTATGGTAGACTAAGGTAGTTTTTTTTTAATTTCTTTGAAAGAGGTCTGTAGTCGTGAGTTATGCTTTTTGGTGTATATCCATTGAGTATAATATCGATGATTTTTATTGATTTTTTATACATATTTGTTTGTTTTTCTCTCAATTCGTAGGTTTTAGTGTAAAATTGATTTGGTTAGATAATTAATAGTAATTACAAGTTGTTTTGTTAATGATATATCGATTGTAAAGCTATTTAGTTAGTTTATGGCTCTCCTGGGCGTCTGTGTTTGTTTTATAGCGCAGTTACAGACGATGACTAACCGATTACAGGTTAAGCTACTCTTGTTAAGGTCGGATTGTGGATGGGTTTGCGTTTAAAGGTACTTTTTGTTATATTTTTGGTTAAAAGTATTATAGACTAAAATTGTGAATGTTAAATATGAGGTTTTGGGTTTGATTCTCGATGGAAATGTTTCTAGATTACATTTGCGTATTTTTATAGTGGTTGTTGTGCATTTGGTCCCGGATTCGACCCTCGATAGAAACGTTCTGACATTATAGGTTGTACTTGCATATTTTTGACATATTTTTTAATTCAAAAGTGTTGTAAGTTCTCTCTATGGTTGAGTAGTCGCAAAAATCACCTAGAGATCATTGGTTCCATTACCAGTGACACAATTTTCATCAGTTATCTCATATTTCTTTTTCCTATATACTATTAGGGACCTTACATTCCGAACTCCATACTACTTTCGGTATCAAAAGTCGCAATAACCACTTGGCCCGACTCGACCATCGAGCTTAAACACGCTCACTGGACAGTCGGACTTGCGACCACTCAATCAACGAGTATTAAATGTTTATTTTAATAATAAATTCTTTTACTCTTGTGTTAATGTTGTTTCATTCATAGAGAGAAATAAAAATTGAATTCGAAGTACTTGTAAGAACAAAACTGTTCTCAAAAAAGCTCAAATAATAAATACTATAGGCAGAATTTTAATTAGATTCCAGATTTAACACTATCTACTGTCATTTTGTGAAATAATGATACCATATATAATAGTGTAGTGATGAACACAAAAATCGATACTAGATATGTTAATTGACAATATCACAGACACATTTATAATAAATGTAAAGTAGATCTTGTTAGAATGTAGAGATATATGCTTGTTACATTCTCCATTCTTTAAAATACCTGCATATTTGGCTCACAATTTTTCTATGGAATAGGACGCAAACGACCCGTCTGCTCGTTTCGATCACCTAATGAAAAGCAATAGATTATAAATTATCGAGCTTAGCACTTACCCATTCAGGCTACTTTTAAAAACTTGTAAGCCATATTAAAAGTGCATTAATTAACTGGAATACCTGTCAACGGTACAACATTACATTAAAAAAACACATTCATCAAAGTAAAATTCAAATCAAAATCCAACACCTGGTCTTTTTGCTACAAACTTTAATTTAAATTTAAAAAGTACCCCAATAAGTAATTAATATTCCCATAATTCACTGCAATATTGTATGCAAAAATAAGGTAATTAATCAAAATATATTAAAATGCGAAATTTTCATTTTTAATGTCCATCAAACTAAATCATTAATAATGTTCAAAGACTACAATACGACGCCATCTTGTTTTTTTATTTTTTCGCGCCAAATGTAATTATATCAATGAATAAAATTGGGATACACGGTAATGATTGATGAACAAGGCTTAGTCCACAGACGATGGCCATTTTGGCTAAATATTTTGCAAAATTCATATCATTATATAGAGTGAAACAAAGTCGAATTTTCGCTCTATCCTTATGTGTCTCTAAAACTACGCAATGGTTTTTGATACGATTTTCCTAACAGATAAACTGATACGAGACTTGTCTCCGTTCTAAATTATGCATACCTAAAAACCAAAGGGTTACCTAAATTATGCACACCTATCCTATAAACCCAAGGGTTATAGATACCTATGGATATATACCGGCTCGACGTACAGGAGAAGGAACGGGGTGGTTTTTAGTCAGTAAGAGTCTGACACTCCCTCCCGCCTCACCCAGACGGGAGCAGTCATTCGATGATTTTCCCCCCTTAAAAAAAACTTGCCAACTACTCAAATAAAAAAAACAATCAACTGAACTGGAACACCAGAGGCGTTACAAGTGCGTTACCGGCTTTTTGGGATTAGGAGTTTGTGGATTGTTGGGGATTCAGGAATTGGGGAGATTGGGGAAGGGGAGGGTAATTGGGCCTCTGGTAACCTCACTCACACGACGAAACACAACGCAAGCGTTGCTTCACGTCGGTTTTCTGTGAGGCTGTGGTATCACTCCGGTCGAGCGGGCCCATTGATGCCGAAGCATGACTCTCCCACACTTGAAGGTTGTGGCGAGTTTGTCTAATGCTTTGATTGGTCTCTGTCAAAGGTATAAGTTCTTTACGACATCTTCGAGAAGAGCAGGGGTAGTGAAAATAAATAAATCAATGAATATAAGTGTTGGTAAGCTTTATAAATACTTCATCACCATTATCATCATCAACAGCCTATAAGTGTCCACTGCAAATAGAATAGAACAAAACTTCTTCTCACACGGAGAAGGGTTGAGCAACCACGCTTGCTCAATGCGGGTTGGCGATTTCAAACTTATAATTAGAAATTATAAGCACAGGTTTCCTCACGATGTTTTCTTTCACCGTTTATCAGCGGTGTCTAAATAATCTTAGAAAGTACATATAACTCGGAAAATGTCACATTGGTACTTGCCGCTGGTAAGTTTCGAAACCGTACCGTCATGCATGAGAAGCAGGGCATCCTAACCCTCAGGGTCTTAAAAATACTTACCATATAGATTGTACCCAATTTTTAAGGCCTCAATTTGACCCTACACCATAATGTTACCATTCCGAACAGACCCTTAGTTCCCAGGTGTAAGATTCATCACGGCTGTTGATAATTTGACACCAGCAGAGCGCTTCGAAATTGGGAAGGTAATGAGTCATCTTAATGACATTCCTTCAGAAAGATAATAGAGCCATGATAATTTATACATATATAAGAAAGTTTGTCAATTTGCGCCATAGTTGCTAAAATCTTTTACTTATCGCGCTAATCTCCGGATCTACTGGCCGAATTGCTAAATTATTTTTGTGTTAGATAGCGCATTTGTAGAGGAAGATTATTAAATAGATAAAACATTGCGCTACGATCCAAAAGGAGCTGAGCAAAGGGTAAATCCGTGCGGAAAGTAGCTGTAATTAAATAATGTCTATAAAGATAAACAATAAACTGGCAAGGGAAATTGTAGACGTAGAAAAAAACAATGTATTTGTATTGCGACTGAAAAAATATTTACTAGATAAATACTCTTAAAGACTTTTTTGATGACAGTATAATTTTTAAATAATAATTCTTAATTGTCGTATAGATAGAAAATTCATGTAGATAGACGAAAATGAAATTTCACCACCAACCCAAACCATAGAACCGATTGATAGTTACAATTCACTAACAACTACCGAATAATATTCTTTATATGTCCTTTACTTGGCGAAGTCCGTAAAGGAAATTCGAACCGGCATTAGAACCGAGAGTAAGAAGAATTGCAAGAAAATATACAAATTTTGTTAACTGTATTGTAATTTTAATATACCTATGTATGTCGCGGAGAACCTAACGGGTAACCGGGGCTCCGGCTCAACGTGCAGGAGAAGGAACGGGGTGGTTTTTAGTCAGTAAGAGACTGACACTCCCTCCCGCCTCACCCAGGCGGGAGCAGTCATTCGATGATTTTCCCCCCTTAAAAAAATATATAAGTACGTATGTATAATTTGTTAGTTATTAATAATAATTGGTCTTTTTTTGTTCGTATAAAATTACATATATTAAAATGCTAGTATCGATTTTGTAACGTATTCTGATTCTGTAATGCTAGTTTATCATTTTTTTTGTTTTATATTTGATGGACCGACGCGACGTTTGCCCACTATCTCGCCTGGTGGTAAGCGATGATGCGGTCTACGATGGAGCACGTCGTCCCATAAGCAACCTATTAACTCGGGCCTTGAAAACTCCTAGGTTATACCCTTCAGGAAATACAGACTCTGGCAAAGAATTCCACTCTTTAGCAGTACGCACAAGGAAGCTTGAAGCGAAGCGCTTCGTGCGTGTGGGCGGAACATCTACCATGAATCGGTGACGCTTCACCGATTGTCTTGTGGTAAGACGATGGAAAGGACTAGGGGGAATCAAGTTGTGCAATTCCCCCGCACACTCACCGAAATGTATCCGGTAGAAAACCGAAAGGCTTGCAACCTTACGCCTGTGTTCGAGGCTTTGAAGCCGAGCCTTCACAAGCGCATCATCGTCGATGAGCCTCTTGGCACGCCTCTCAATGTGCTCTAACGCGTCCAGCTGATATTTGGCCGAGCCGTCCCAAAAGTCATTTTTTTGTATTAAAATTATATATTTCCCTGCTGTGCCCGACAGGGTCGACAATGATCTGTATTATTCTATGTTACCACCTAAATAACATTGTGGAATGCAATAAAGAATTTGAATTTGAATTTGAAGTCTTCTAAATTATTCTGAAGCTAAAAAGATTGTTAATTGAAACGCGCAAATCTTTGAAAAGATTGATTCGAATTGAATATAATTATTATGTTTGTGTTACCTGCCTCAAAGACCGCCATTTAACACAATGCAAAAACAAAATCAAAAAGTTTTTGACATTCAGTTAGACCGATTACTAACAAAATGTTAACAAAAAAGTCAGTTTTTACTACATACATACAAACATACATATACCCACTAATTTATCGAGATAAACATCTCAAAGAACGATCCCTTTTTGACGTTTTTTTTTGACATTTCCAAAATGAGTAATGCGCATGCGCA